CCTTGATCAGTTTCCATCCATTATTCCTTGCCTGGCCTTTGGGTGCTTTGGAAAATAGCTTGACTCCTTCCTCTCTGTGGCAGCTCCTCAAATATTGGAAGACTGCTATCCTGTCTCCCCTGGTCCTTCTCTTCACTAGACAAGCCAGGCCCAGTTCCTACAAACGGTCATCATTATGTTTTAGTCTCCAAAGTGAAGCTTTAATGCATCGTGAAAAACCAGAAACAGAGGAAAACTGAATAAACCAGCTAAGAGTCAGCTAACCATGGCCTAAACAGTTGAGCAACATTATTGTACCATATTTAACAGGATATCTCAGGTTTGCTCTTATTTCTGCCAAATTCCGGCATCCTGCTTTTAATTCTGAGCGGATTCTCTGTGGACTCCAATCCTATTGGCTGCAACAGTACTTCCTGTCCTCCTGTCCGCCTTATCGGTGAAAACGGAAATTCCCTTTGCCGTTTTATGCGTTTTAAAAGAAAAAAACAAAGAAAGAAAGCCAAGATGGTCTGCCACTCAAGTTTCTGTCCCATTTATCAGAATTCTGCATTCTCTTGCAGGGGAGAGATGCCAGCGCCGTTTGACGTTAATTAGAGCGCGCCCGTCTGGAAGTCAAGATTGCAAAGCACAAACATTTATAATTTATAAACGTGATTTACGAGGTAAGTGACCTCAGCTCCAGATTTCCCTTTCAGCTGGCAGCTCTCACAGGAGAGATGTGCAAACATCTTTATTTTTTTCTCCCACAGTACAGTAACTGCATTTTTTTTTAAAAAAGGAAAAACTAAAGATGGGCCACTTTTCTGGCTGTTTTGCTGCGATGGATTCAGGCGGTGAGGAATTCCATGCAAGAATCAGGGGGTTGGGGGGGGGGGTAGGCAAGAGAGGGAAATTGCGGTCTAGGAAATGTAGGTGATGATGAACTCTGGTTATCCGTTCTGACCCAAACACGACGAGCAAGCTGTTTGTAACCAGGCTGTTACGGGTTCGGCCGAGTTCAGGAGAACGTGTATTTAGGTATTTAATAAATTTATAGGCCGCCCAATCCTGAAGGACTCCGGGCGGCTTACAGAAATACATTTTTAAAAGAAATAAAGAATTTAAAAAAAACAGAGAAAAACAGATTAAAAGATCATTTCATGCACTCAGTCTAAGCAGGACTGGACCTCATTCATGAGGTCAACAGCCCCAGGCCTGCCGGAATAGCCAGGTTTTGGTAGCCTTTTGGAAGGCCGTGAGAGTGGGAAGGGTCTGGATCTCTGGGGGTAGATCATTCCATAGGGTCGGAGCGGCTACAGAGAAGGCCCTCCTCCGGGGAGNCTCTTTTTTGAGGGAAAAAGGTGCGTCTTATACTCCAAAAAATATGGTACATGGCAGCTTTCCAAGCTAGATAAGGTCTGTGGTCATAAATTCACCTTTGAAAGACTTTACCAGGCCTTTGCTGAATGTGAATGAGAGGAATTCATGTTCATTTAATAAAAGGGGTTTTCTCTGGACACCCACAACGGGCTCATCTGCCCACCCCAACCAGGACTTCATAACCCCTTGAAGGACACAAGACACTTACTCTAAAGAATTCTTTGGTTGAACCGGAATCCAATGTCCCGTAGGCAATCTCGGTCTGCTTAGCCAGATCTTCCGCGCTTTCAATGGGTGACACCATCCTTTCCACCGTGAGGAAGGCAGCCAGGTTGGCGGTGTAGGACGAGATGATGATGAGGGTGAAGAACCACCAAACTCCGCCCACGATTCGCCCTGAGAGAGACCTAAGAAATTGGAGAGGCGGTTACTTTGCTATACGGCGGTCTTCGGCCTTCCGCAGGAAGAGAAATCCCAAACGATCCAAACAGACGGGGAATAAAAAGAAAGAGAACCAATATTGGCGTTAACAGAGTCTAGAAATTCACCGAGCGTTACATTCCCGGCCTGGAAATGTCACAACACTGCCTAGGTAGTCCTCTGTCTACGACCACAATCAAGCCCGAGACTTCTGTTGCTAAGCGAGACCATTGTTAAGCGAGCTCTGTCCCATTTTACGACCAGTCTTGCCACACTTGTTCAGTGAATGACTACAGCTGTTAAGTCAGCAATGCAGTCGTTAAGTGAATCTGGCTTCCTTATTCCGACCTGGCTTGTCGGAAGGTATCAAAAGGGGATCACGTGACCCAGGGACAAGGCAACTGTCATAAGGATGAGTCCACTGCCAAGCGTCTGAATCTTGGTCACGTGACCAGGGGGATGCTGCGACCGTCGTAATTGTGGAAAACGGTCGTCGGTCACTTTTTTCCAGTGCCATTGTAACTTCAAACAGGCGCTTAATGAACTGAAATTACTACCTGTAACTTAAGTCTAGTGAGAAGGACAAATGCTTGCTACCGCATCGCTAATAGTTTTATTTATCCAGTGTGAAGTGTGGCCAAACCCAGGTCCTTTACCTAGGATTTACAGATTACAGATTAACAGAGTTGGAAGGGACCTTGCAGGTCATCTAGTCCAGCCCCCCCAGCATCCAAGCAGGAGACCCTACACCATTTCTGACAGATGGCAGTCCAGTCTCCCCTTGAAAGCCTCGAGGGATGAAGCTCCCACAACTTCCGAAGGCAACTTCTGTTCCATGCGTTGATTGTTCTCACTGTCAGAAAATTCCTCCTTATTACAGATTGAATCTCTCCTTGATCAGTTTC